TTTTAGGATCCAAATCACATAACTGAAATATTGTTCCAGACATGAAAACAAGCAAACAAAAAACCATGTATCAGGATTAATATTTTTGTGTGTCAACTCTAAAATCTTGGCTTTTGGTTAGTCTTAATTTCCTTTGGTTATATTATCAAGCTGTGAGCTTATTATTTTTTTCTAGTACTGTATGAATTTTCCAGGTTTCTCATATGAAACAGTCATTGAATACACACAAACAGTTGTGACTAACAAATGGTGTAAATGGGGACTATAGCAGTTTAAAGTCATCCAGCATCCTAAACAGTAGCCCTGTTCTTCAGCTCACCAAGATAAATTCCACACATCTCCATCTCCTTTTAATAACATATTCCTGTTTTATATACTTTACATTTTTCTACTGATGACAATGTATATGTGTAGGTTTAACATTCCATTCCTGAAAATGCTTGAACAAAAGGCCATATGGTACAGACAGACAGCAAGGTTCTAGACAATGGAGAAGACTAGGGAGACTGTCCCCAGTTTTACTAGAATTACTTATGAATGGTGGAAAGATACAAAGTAGCTGCGTGGGAAAAAACATAAACAAGCACTATGATAGTTCAGAACCTCTCTTGGAATATATACTTAAACCCTATGCTCACCCACCCTCAGAGGAAGCTTTTTGTAATCATGGGGAATCCACTCTTTTGCTCACCAAGTTTCAGGACCTTAAAACAAATAAACCCAACAAATACCAGTACCTTATATTTAGGGCCTGCCTCAGACAAGCTGCAACCCCAATCTCTTTTGTCCTACTTTATACTACACCAATTATTCCTATTTGAGCCAGGCACAACTCATGTCCTCTCTGAGACACTACAAGGGCCTTCTTACCTTAGAAATTTTATAACACATTTCCTTTACTTACTAAATTTCCAAGTCCCATGTCAAAGTCCAGCTGAAATTCTACCTGCTCCCCCAAACAACACTGATGGGGGATGTCCTTCTGTATATATGTTTCTCTTATTGGTTGATGAATAAAACACTGTTTGGCCAATGAAACAGGAAGACAGGCGGGACTAGGAGATGAGGAGAATTCTGGGACAAGTAGGCAGGAGAGCCTGCCAGGGACAGACACCATGTAGATCACAAAGTAGTAACAGTCCAGGCATTCTTTGGTAAGCCAAGACCAAGTGGAAATACATAGATTAATCGAAATGGGTTAGCCAATAAGAAGCCCAAGTCAACAGTTTTATAACTAATATAGCATCTGTATGCTTATTTGGGGCTGAGAAGGGCAGTGGGACCTGGCAGGACAAGAATCATTCAGCTACAAGATGGCACCAATGTGGGTTGCACGAATTTCCCCATAGAACCTGACAAAAGCTTAAAAAGGGATTTTAGAAACAAAAGAACAAAGCCAAGCAGGGCTTCTTGGTAGCAGCATTTTCTTGGGTGGCCTCTGTTTGCCAGAGACAAGCAGAGGCTCACGTTTCCTTTAAGGGAGGCTTCCTGACTCAGCATAGGCGGCAAAAAACCACATGGCTCTTTTAGCAATGCTATTTAGCAGGTAAAAGACTCATGGCCAGAAAAAGATATCATACACAGTAAAGACAGAGTCAGATAAAGAAAAACCTCTAAAGGGTTTATAGTGCTTAAAAATATATGTAGGCTTGGGAGAGAAAAAGAAAAAGGATAAAGTGGTTGAGAGAGAGAGAGAGATCTACAGAAGGACATCTGTCATTATATTTGTGTTTTCCAATAGCCTTAAGCAACCCCTGAGAAAGGTTTGTTCAACTTAAAGGTTGAGAACTGCTGATCTAAAATATCTATAGAATACTAACAAATACCATAAGAGAATAAAAATGAAATAACAGGAATGAACACTGAAACACTGAATGATTATTTAATTTCAAAGTAGAGATGGATTATGAAAGTATACTTTAATTTTTTTTGTTTTGTTTTACGAGACAGGGTTTCTCTGTATTCTTTTGGAGGCTGTCGGTCCAGCCCGGCCTTGAACTCACAGAGATCCACCTGCCTCTGCCTCTGCCTCCTGAGTGCTGGGACTAAAGGCGTGCGCCACCACCGCCCGGCATACTTTAAATTTTTAAGTTTCGTTTGTTTGTTTGTTTGTTTGTTTGTTTGTTTGTTTCTTTCTTTCTTTCTTTCTTTCTTTCTTTCTTTCTTTCTTTCTCTCTTCTGTTTCTGCTTGTATGTCTGTGCACCAGGTACATGCTAGGTGCTTGGAGAGACCAGTCACACTGAATAGTACCAGTAGGCAATCAGATCCCTGGGAACCAGAGTTACAGTCAGCTGTGAGCTGCCATGTGGGTGCTTGGAATCAAACCTAGGTCCCTGGCAAGAGCAGCCAGTGATTAACTACTGAGCTATCTCCAGCCTCAAGCTTTAGTATTTGTGCTGAGCCTTGAAAGACAAGTACATTTATGTGTGTAGAGAAAAAGAGTAAGACAAGGAAATGCAAGCCATTAAGGCCAGAAACCTCATTATACAGGAACAACCAATAGTAGAAAGCATGCAGAAACGGATGTAGGTAGAAAAAACATCTGAAGCCAATAAAGCTATATTCAGTAAGATCCTGAAAACCAAGTAAGAAACTTAAACTTCGCTTTTTCTATAAGAATATATTCCTAAGTGCCTGCGAGACTAATAAATGGTTATCGGTCATTTTGGACTGGAGGAAATAAAGATAAATGCAGAGGCCAGTACCATGATAAAACAAAGGACAGCAAATTTAAACAGGAAAAAGAGAGTCCCAGTTACACTGAATAGTACCAGCAGGCAATCAGATCACAGTATCACAAAGAAACCACAATCAACTCTTCTACTTAGAACAAGTAACTTTGTAAAAAAAACAACAAGAAAAACACTCCAACCAATTCCACGTAAAAGATTCTCATCAGTGGTTCCAATGTGCCTGGAACCTTAAAAACACAAAATCTAAATGCTGTCTATGGATCATTCCAAAGCAATCTCAAGTACTGACTCAAAGGTAAATACACAACTGGAAAACTAGAAGACTTAAAGATCCTTACAATGCTTTAAAAATGCTAAACAAACTAATGATTTGTGGTCACTATTATTTGGCCACAATTCAGCTACAATGCCACAATAAAAGGTGATCAAGGCCGACTTCCAGGTCTGACTGACAGGTGCCAAAGAGGACTAACTACATCTCTTTATGCATCCCTTCTTTTCTGTAGTGAATAATTCCCTCAGATAATAAAGCTGGGATCTCCCTAGACTAACTAACCCTATCACTGCTGGATCTCAAATTTGCAAAAACCTAAAAAACTAAATTTTTTTTGAGACAGGGTTTCTCTGTATTGTTTTGGAGGCTGTCCTAGAACTTTCTCTGTAGACCAGGCTGGCCTCGAACTCACAGAGATCCACCTGCCTCTGCCTCCCGAGTGATGGGATTAAAGGCATGCACCACCATGCCCGGGTAAAAACTAAATTATTTTGAAATCATGTGGGGGGAAGATAACTCCTCCAATGATGATAAACTCATTAGGATCACAGTTACCTTATGCCCTTATATTCTTAAAAAATAAAAAAAATAAGCTGAAAATGAAGATGAGCACTCAGCATATAATTTGATTATTAACAAATGTTTATTATACATATACTGAATTAAAAATTAAAAATAAGAACAAACATTTGCATTGTGGTTTGTTGTTGGTTTTTTTACTCTTTACTCTTTTGGGGGCCTCGCAACCTAGCTCCCAAGTAAGTCACATGGTGGCTTATTATTACTTAGGAATGCCCGACCTCAGCTTGGCTTATTTCTAGCCAGCTTTTCTTAAGATATCCCATCTACCTTTTGCCTCTGGGCATAATTTTATCTTTCTCTATTCTGTATACCTTTCTTTACTGCTTAATCCATGGCTTGCTGTGCAGTTGGGTGGCTAGTCCCTGATTACTCCTCTCCTTCTTTTCTTGCTTCTCCTTTCTCTTCATTCTTCTTCTCCTTCTATTTAATCTCTCTGCCTACCAGCCCCACCTTTGCTTTCTCTGCCCAGCTATTGGCCATTCAGCTCTTTATTAGACCATCAGGTGTTTTAGACAGACACAGTAACCCAGCTTCACAGTTAAATGCAACATGAAAACAAATGTGCCAAGCATAAACAAAATACATCTTAAAATAATATTCTACAACTGCCTAATAAGTATGTTCTAACTATTAAATGCACTTATTCATCTATTTGCTATTAAGTAATGCTGAAAATAACATTATTTTCACCAGAGTAATGTCATTATTTCAGTTTAAGTCTTAAGGGAACAAAAAACGAGAAGTCAACTTTCATTATTAGTGCTTTTATATAAAGAACAAATTGAAGTAAAATGTATTAGCTTTACATATTAACTGAACATTAAAATTAAATGCTACTAACACTGACATTTTACGGCTATGCATTGATCTAACAGAATAACAGACACCAGATGGTTAAAGATAATCTTGTTTGGTCGTTTTTTTTTTTTTTTTTTTTTTTTTTTTTTGATTATTTAAGACAGGCTCTTGCTAGGTAGCCCAGGCTGGCTGCAAACTTAGCTCTTCCATCTGAGGACTGAGGTTACAGGTGTGCACTACCGCTACCGCATTCAACAAAGGGTAAATGGAGACAGAGACAGAGACAGAGAGAGAGAGACAGAGGGGGGGGGGAGATGGGGGGGAGAGAGAGAGATGGGGGAGAGGGAGAGAGATGGGGGAGAGAAGAGGGGAGGGAAGGAGGGAAAGGACTAAGGGGTGAGGAAAGACAGCTTCACTCTTGGCGTAGGCTGCCCTTGAACTCATGGGAACCCTCCCACTTCAGCTTCCCAAGTGCTGAAATTACAGACAGCAGCCACCACGACATCAGCTTCTAGTCTTCTGACTGTAGACTTTAGGTGAGTTTTTAATCTCTCTTTTGGTATGTATTTATAAATTCTTCTTAGCTAATCTTCCATTATAATTGTGCCAAGAGGTACAATTTGGTTAACAGAGAATTAAAACAACAACTTACCAGGTCTCTGTGAAGCACCCAGTTTGCATGGAGGTAATGGATACCGTCAAGAATCTGGTAAAGCAGTGACTTAACCATAGATCTTGGTAACTGCATGGGCTTTTTATTTGCTTTTGATGCACGGTGAAACTTAATAATGTGCTAAAAAATAGAAAATAAAACATACAATAATATAGTCTGCTCATATCTCTGCCAAAAAGAAAAAACAATCAAAATTGAAATAAACAATGTGTATCTTACAAATGACTTTCACATTAATGATACAAAACTTTCTGAATAATAAGCTTGTCCAAAAGATATATTGGGAGATGAATGTAGCCATGTTAATGTGGGTCTATAGTGATCAGATCTCATGAAAACACTAAGATGTTCACTAATCAGCCTCAAAGGGTAGAAAGAATTGATACTTACTGCCTGTCTCAGAACAGTATTGGTAATATTCTATATGGATAGGGGGGAGACAGAATGATAAACTGTAAATCCTGGCTGTTACATACAAAGTCGGTACTTGGTACAGTTGGATAATATCACTGGCACTAGATAATTTAAATTACTGGGAAAACATTACCTCCTCTAGGCACAAAACAATGTGATATATCCCTAGAATTTAATATTATATAGAATAGAACACTAGAAAGGACAGAGAAAGAGGAGAGAAGAAACTGCAGAATTTTAACACTAGAAAGGACAGAGAAAGAGGAGAGAAGAAACTGCAGAATTTTAACAATTGAAGTAATAACTGTTGGCTCTCAAATCTGAGACAAAGGGCTGGGGTGTCAACAGCCAGACTGCCATTCTCACATCACACGTTAAGTGTGGAGTATAGAAGCACCGCTACGCAAGAGAAAGATGCTACAGCCACATCTAACTCCCGCCGCTCTGCACCTGCTCCTGTGCTCGAATCCCACAGGTCCTATGAGAAGAGGCAGTGTTCCTAACTGCTGAGCCACAGGCAGCATCGACCACACAACTACTGTTAGAGGAGCTCTGCACAAGTGAGCTTTGTAGAAATAAAGGAGGGCTGTGGTCAATGCAGAAAATACTTGTTTTGAAGCAGGGCTGCAGGGATTTGGATTTCAGGTATGCATTATCATGATAAGCAAAATAACATTTAAATTTTTATTGCAGTGGTGGGGGGTGGTTGTCTGCGTACACATGCATGTACCACTAGGAACATTTGTAGGTCAAAAGATAGCTCACAGAGCTCTCTCATTCCAGTATATGGGTCCCAGGCAGTTATTTTTTACCTACAGAGCCATCTGTACAGTTCAGAAATGTAATTTTTATTAAGAAGTATTGAAGAAAACACTGGAAGCTGTCATCAATAACTCTGTAGCATCATCAACTTTCAAAGGTCATTCAAGACTTTATAAGCCTGTCCAAGTTGTTCTTATAAAGATTTTTTAAATTTATGCAGAAGGCGCACTGTAACATACTGAACCAAATTTATCCATAATTTAACTGTCAAATTTGGATTTTTTTTTTGGCAGTTTTAGGAACAAAATGTTTAAAATGCTCTGGTTCCCAAATTTTAAAGTCAGGAATTAGGTTTTTCCCCCCCCTTCTTTTATGCATTAATAAGGCATTCTAAAAATTATATTCATAATTTCATTTGGTAGACCCACTTTGAAATACCAAGCTATGGTAAAAAGATCACCTTTAACTTAAAAACTACTCACAAGTATATGCTGGATGAGAACTGAGCCCTGTGAATTCGACAAACGGAAGCAGTTTTCACTGAGCCCGTCACCAAGCCTCCATTAGCTGCCTGCACAGAACAAGTCTGTTATTCTAGCAAAACTTCCTCCCAGAAACTTCTGAGTGCACCAGACAGTACCATGTTCAAATCAGCATTTACTGTAGCTGCTCTGAACTGGAATGAACAGTGAGCTTTCTCTCCTGTGCATGAGTACTACATACTGCTTGCATACATGCCCCTTACCTATATAAAACAGTGCTTTGGACACAGCGAGTTGAAACTTACCCAAAGGTCATGTTCTGCATAGTCAAACAGCAGCCACACCTTCCTGTCGCTGTGGGAAAGGAACACCTTCTGCAATGCGATGACGTTAGGATGCTTCAGTTCTCTCAGAAGCTGGGTGCAAGAGAAAGAGAGGCCACTGCTCATTAGCAAGGAGGGCTTAGAAGGGAATCGTGCTCATAATCGAACGGTTTATTTGAAACAAGGTCTTCTATAGCCCAGGCCACTACCTTTGAATTCACAATGCATGTGCACCACCATGCCTCGTTTTCAATGAACTTTTCAAATTTTGGAAAAGCTGGGTGAGCAGCAAGAAAGGGGGCTTCCAACACCATTCTTGAAGAAAAATTCTGTCAGCACCTTTCTGATCCCTTTCTATAGTACGCATGTGTGCACACGTGAGTTTGAAATGAACAAATTGAATCCTGCATCACAGTAGAATTAGCTTGGTCTGGGGAAACAGCTCAGTCATGGAAGTGCTGCAGGACTGGGTTCCTCATCGGCCGGTTAGTCACCCTAGCCTATACAGCCCAGCAGAAAGAAGCGGGACTGTTAGAGTTCTGAGCCCTCTCTCCTCAGATTATACCCCGAGAGGCTCTGACTATGAGGTATTGTGCCATCACAAGCGCTAGGCCAAGAAGCATGGCCTAAATCTATGAAACAATAAACCACAATAACCTTTGTCCATAATAATTTGATTATCTCAAGGATCTGTGACATCGATGGGAACCTGATTCACATAGCAAAGGTTCTGTACATAGAAAAGAACAGACCTCACAATGTACAAGCTTCAGGCTCCACCCTGACAAGAAAGTAGACAGACCAAACCAGCAAATGAAAACTCAGCGCCTGTATATTACAGGCAGCAGCTTGATAAACAACATAGGAACAATGACAAGATGAGCTCACGGTAAAAGCCTTGTAAATATGCCTGCCTCCCACTCAACCAGGGTTCAGAATTAATAGGCACAAAACCTGATTTTGTTTTTCTTTTTTAAGACAGGAGTTCACCAGTTATGCTGACATAGTCCTATAATCATAGGCCTACTCAGGAGGTTGATGCAGGAGCATGTAAAGTTTAAGGCCCGCTTGGGCTACAAACTGAACTCAAGGCCTAGGCAATTTAATGAGATTCCATCTCAAAACAAAAAACCAAATCTCTGCTTTCCCTGCCACAGCACCATCTGCTCTTCACAGAAAACAGCAAGGGCGACTACTGGAGGGGAGCAGGGGAGGGGTTTCCTTTAGTCTCAATATCACTTCCTAAGGAAGTCTTCCCTGGTCCTCCCACTGTAATGCTGGAGGTCTTTATTGCTTGTCATCTTCTGTTAATAGCAAAGCTTTTGTTGGTTTTATATCCCCCATGCTCAAAATGGCACCTATGACATAATTAAGTACTCAATAATATTTATCAAATGACAAATCTATTGAGCCTACCTGGCTCTTATTCATGAAAACAATAAATAGCTTTGCAGAATGCTGTTTTCTTTTGACAAACTATCCTCTATCAAAAAGTATTTTTAGTGCTTTTTTTTCCAATTACTATGTACTCCACTAGAAAAGTAACATATGGATGTGCTCGTAGACATCAGAAGTTACCATGTATGGTGTGTTCCTCAGTTGTCTCCACTTTCATTTTGGGGAAAGGGTCTCTTATTGAAAGCTCACCAACTCGGCTGACCAGCCGGCAAGCTCCAAAAAGCCCTATGTCTCTGCCTCTAGCACCTCATCAGCTCTTGGGGGTATTTTTAAGACCAGATTATACAAATGAAACCCAAGGTCCTAGACAAACATCACACAAAAATGGTATCACTACCCTGACTTTGCAGCAAGCAACAAAAAATCTTTCTACCATTATTTATAGAACTCAGCAAGGAACAGGAATAAACAATCTCAGTGTTCAATTATAACAAAACGGATTCTTAGGGTATAGCCACATATTATAGCTTCAGATATATACACTGAAAGGTTTTAAAGACTTTTAAATTATGTATGTGCGTAGGGAGTATGTGCAAATGACTGCAGGTGTCTGAGGAGGCAAGAGCCATCAGGTCCCCTGAAGCTGGAGTTACAGGCAGTTGTGAACCTCATGTGGTCCTGGGAATCCAACTCACGTCCTCTGGAATAGCAGTGTATGGTCTTAACCACTGAGCTGTATCTCCAGTTCCACTATAAGTTTTTATGGGACCTACTGCTATAATGTTGTGATATCATATTTTAAACATCTATGAAATATTTGTTTATAAAATAAAATAGATAGCAAAGTATAATTAGTATTTGTTTAATGGTATGAGATGACAATCACATTTCATTTTGTTCAACAAATATTTGTTCCACATGATATCATGCAACTCCAAATACACATTAGATTCATTTAAACAGCAGTTAAGTAGACTATGCCTTTCCCATGACACACACTGAATGCTAACCTCTGTGCTAGATACTCAGTGTGCTGACCTGAGAGCAATGCAACCTTGTGAAGAATATTCAATGGACACAGATTTTATCTGATTTCCCTTCCAGACATGTAATTATAAAATGTATCCACTTTTCAATGTCCTAAACACATAAAAAAAATCTGAAGTTAGAGCTCTAAATGTTTTTCTCTAAAGCATTATTTAAGATCTCCACTGAACCTCAGGATTCTTTACCAAGCTAAAGATTCCAATAAGCATTTCTATTTTTACTCACACACTCTTTCGTGTTGTCTATAACAGTCCTCACTTCTATTTTTACCCACAACGCTTTCTGTGTTGTCTATAATGCTCCCTTGGGTTCCAGATTTAAAAAAGGGATTCTGAAATCTTTATACTCCAGTAACTTACATTTCCCAAAATAAATCCAACTTTCTATTCTTGTCTGATTTCTTTAAAATAACAATATGACTCATAGGGCCATTAAACTTTCTCTTGGGTAAAAAAACTGCCAATGACTTTATTTTAGAAAGTACTGCGTAAATCAGTTTTTAAAACAACTTAATAAATGAAGGAATGAATTTTATAGTAAATTAGGACAACTGCCTAATTTCACTGGGGAGTGACCCTAAAACAATCATTAATAATCAGCATCCACCTTTGACAGGCCGTTTTGAATCCAGTAATTCAAAAGTGCCTTATAACCCTCCAGTAGGTGGCACTCATATTATGAAAGGGGTTTAATAAACACAGTAACTATGGCTCAAGGTTCCTCTGATTTTTCATGTGTACACACACGTACACACACATACACACTTTCATAGCAATGCTTAGGTACCAGTCATAAGTTCCAAAAGGTCAGTGTTCCCCACTGTTACTTGTTACAATACAACACCACATATAATGCAAAAATATACAAGTGAGTCCTGATTCACTAGCAGTATGATACAAAGTTACTTAATTCTGAATCTTGTGGAAGAATAAAATTATCTACTCACACAACAGTTTCTGTAAGAAATAAATGAATATACTGTGGTTAAATATATAAACTCAATGCTTATAGCAAACCAAACTCTTGACAAATTATAGTTATTACTCAAAACTATCATTACTTTAAGAACATTAAGACAAAGCAAGAATGCAATGACCTATATAGAAAATGTATAGCAAAAGATTCATTCTTGATAAACAGAAGCTGTAATTGTATTTAAATTGAAAAGAAACTAACTACTAAGAGCACAAGCTACATTTCCTGACTACCACCCACTCCTCCTCAAATAAGCCTGTCTACACCAAATGGAGACACCCCCCACCCCCAAAAAACTACAAATGGACACAATACAGAGATCAATGGAACGTGGAGAGTCCTGCCTCTGTGGCTCAGGGGACACTGCAGATGAGGAACAGAAAGTCCTCTGTGAAACAGTCTCCCCAGAAATGGCTGCACAAGCAAGATCATAAAGTGGCAGTTAACAGGAATTTTAACCAGAAAAGGGATTGCTACTTCTAGACAAAGAACAGGCAACTAATGACTGCTGGAGAAGGAGAATTAGCCTCTCCCAGAAATGAGCCCCCTGTTAGTTTTCCAATGAGGAATGGTCAGCCTGAAACCATATACACAGAAACAACAAAAGTGGACTCAGGATATATATATATATATATATATATATATATATATATATTTGAGCATACACAGAGGGGGGGAGTCTAAGGTCATACCACACTGAATGCGCCTGATCTCGTCTGATCAGAGTGAGGAGAGGGGGGTATTACAATATCAATAAAGAGAAAGAGGCTTTCAACTTGCGGGTGGGCATAAGAAAGGCTGGAAGGAGGGTTATCTGATGTATTTCTATTGTAATTTCCTTAAAACACTAACCACTCAAGGCAGTAAGAAATACTCATTAAAAAGAAATAGGTCATGATAGAAAATGGCATAGTACTACCTCACAAAGTGCCTGAAACACCCCTTTAATAGATTCTATCACAATATTGTAGTTATATAAAAGGCTGTTTATCTTTCTACACAACAAGCAATTTGGTTTCTTTTTCTCTCTAACTTCAAGTTCTGCACATATTTGCTGAGAGCAATATCTAAGTCAAGTGAGATCTAAAATAAATAAGTTTACATCTCCCTCACTGTGACAGGATATACATTTATTTAAGCATATTACATATGAGAATATGGAAAACACCTATTACAAATCAATGGTACTGTGAATACACAAAGTAAAAATATGAAAAATGAAATGAATAAAAAAAATGGAGTCTGCCTGAGTAAAAGCTTCTAATTCTCAGGCACATTCTAATTCATCCTGCACCTCTACCCCAACCCCTACCTTTTTCTAAATCTAAATAGTTAGGTACCTGCTTCAAACACTACAGGAAATTATAATACTATTTACAAATTATACTCACGGGTTTGGAATAATAACTAACCACTAAACTACCAACACAAATGACTAAATGCCTTTTAAATCACTCTGCTTCAAAAGGAGATATGATGAACACAGTGAAATCAGACTCAGATTAATCAGCTGTGCATCCATCATAGACAAACAAGGAAAGCAACTAAATGCTCTAAAGTAAACACAATCCAGGAAATATCTACCTCACTGTCTGTTACACAAACCACCTCATTCCCAATCTGCTAATAAACCTATGCATATTACAAGAAAATAATTATTCTACACAATGAAG